TTTTGTTAACTTCTTTACAGTACATGAATACAGTTTTACTTTTCTAAAATAAACAGTTTCAGTCAGGCCACAATTTAAACATTAGGAAAGATTTCAGGCTTATTGTCAGCTTTTCTAGGGTTTTTACAATGTTCTGTATTAGAACTTTACTTTTTCTATGTACATCAATTACTTGTTGAATGTTTGTCAAAGTATTACTTTTTAAATAGCCTACATACAGATTATGCTGGATTTTTACTTTTTTTTTTTAATGTATTTTTACTTCTACTAACATCAATGGATGAATCATCTATCCTCACAGCACTCCTGTTGGACATAAAGCAGTGGCTCACCAGTTCTTACTGATATATAAAAAGAAAACTGCATGAATGATGCTCATAGAAAAAGAATCTACGAAACTAGAACATTCCAGTGTGATCCTTGCAGAAATGTAACAAAACCTTTTTGAGGAGTTTTAGTATCTCTTGGTCTCCTTGGATCCAACCCTAACAGTAAAAAACATGTTAAACTTAGTGTAATCAAATTTAATTTGCTAAATAGATCAGGCCATTCATGATTATTTACTCAGAAAATAAAGTTTTTCCATTCAATGACATCTATACATATAGACCACTGTGTTGTATCACAAGTATTGTGCACCTCAATTTAATTCATATTAATTCAAAACAAGCTACCATTTAATTACAGATCAGGAGCATTTCAAAATGTAACAAAGAATAAAACAGTACAGCATTTGATCTAAATTTAAGTGTGAGCAAAAGGGTGAAGTTAGCTGCTAATTTTCTGAGTTCTGCATGAATCCAGAATATAATTTAGAATCCTCCTTCCACACCTTAAAACTTAAATGATCAATCTCTGTCCTATATTAGGGATCTGATCATTCCTTATGTTCCCAACAAAGCACTTTGCTCTTAATCTACAGGTGTACTTGCTGGTAATAGAATCTCTAAAAGTAGAATTGGAGCCCTATCCTTTTCAAAAAAATAAAAATAAACGACAAAATAATCTACAAAACTACAACATTCCAGTATGATCCTTGCACAAATGTAACTAAACCTTTTTGAGGAGTTTTAGTATCTCGGGCTCCTTGCATCCAACTCTTACAGTAAAAAACACGTTAAACTCAGTGTAATCAAATTTGATTTACTAAATACTTTAGGGCCATTCAAGCGATTAACTCAGAAAATAAATTTTTTCCATTCAATGACATCTATACATATAGACTACTGTGTTGTATCACAAGTATTGTGCAACTCAATTTAATTCATATTTATGTAAAAAAAAAACTACCATTTAATTACAGATCAGGAGCATTTCAAAATGTAACAAAGAATAAAACAGTACAGCATTTAATCTAAATTGCAAAAGGCTGAAGTTAGCTGCTAATTTTCTGAGTTGTGCATGAATCCAGATTATAATTTAGATTCCTCCTTCCACATCTTAAGACTTAAATGATCAATTTCTGTCCTATTTTAGAGATCTGATCATTCCTTATGTTCCCAACAAAGCACTTTGCTCTTAATCTACAGGTCTACTTGCTGTTAATAGAATCTCTAAAAGTAGAATTGGAGGCCTATCCTTTTCAAGAAAATGAAAAAGTTAAAAAACAGACCACTGGACCTTGTTTTCTAGGTGTGAAGACATTTCGCTTCCCAACTAGAAAGCTTTCCCAATTCAAATTGTCTAGAATAGCTTTTGAGTTTCAGGTTTATAGAGTGGCACAAACAAAAGCCTTGTTATCGCTTAGGAAACATGCAAATTGAAAAAGCTTCCTGGATAGGAAGTGAAACGTCTTCAAACTTGGAAAACAAAGTCCAGTAGTCTGTTATTTTACTTTTTCATTTTTTATTTTGTTGGAATGAATATGACCTGGAATGATTCAGAATCTTCACCAGGAAGCAGATCATTTAGTTATCAGGCTTCTCTCCTGTCGAAATAACCACCAGTTATATTCCATGAGACAGATATCCTATCTACTTTTAATGCAAGGTTTTTTAATGTAAATATACGCTTTGTGACAAAGCATATAGTTGAAGTTGCTCAGATTATCCTGAGTTATCTCTATAGTTATGCTGCTATATATTTAAACTGCTGGAGATAAAGCAGCCATATGTAATATTTCTGTTTCATTCTATCTGTATTCTCCTATCCTGCAGTATTTTTGGTTTAACCTCTAACTTTGTATTCTGTATGCTTTTATCTCATCATAGTAGCTTCATCGGGTCTGTTCCTGTTTGGCTGTGACACGGATAGAAGTATCAGATTTGCTGCTGCAATCTACACCTTTGTTTGTGAATGTCTGAGCTGGCCTTGTTTTTCAGTGTAGTCCTTTTTCTATTTTACTGTGACTAACTGTACATGCTCTCTTTAATCCTCTGACATTGGGGCTGGCTCAGAACCTGTCTGCTTGGCTGTGTGTTTCCTGGACAGGGCCACCTCTGGAGCTAGTTTACACTTACCTTTTTGTATGTCTGTTTCTATCTCCTTGAACCTAAGTTGACCTCGGCACACGGTTAATCACACTGAGCCTGGTTCTGCTGAAGGTTTCTTACTCTCTGACTGTATGATCTGGATGAATTGTCTCTGTAAAGTGCTTTGAAATTACATATTTTGTCTATTGGTGCTATATAAATAAACTGAATTGAATTGAAAAAAAAAGTGCATTGTCCTTCTTATTTTAACATAAGAAGTGGAGGTGTGTTAACTGTGTCATTTTTTATTCATTCAGTCAGGCATCCTGGTTTTATACAAACGTACATTCAACAGCCAGACACCTCTTGTGAGGATACCATCCCTGCTCTTGAACCCTGTTGCATGCTGGGTATTGGAGTTCTAGTGATTCTATGCTCCTTGCATTACAGCCTTCTCCCTATAAAGAAATAATATTCACATTTAACACCATGTCTGGCGGAGACAGTCCTTAGGTAGCTAATGACTGCCTTTCTTGATGTAGACTGCAGGACTCTAATTTCCACATAGTTAGAAAAGTAGTCGTTGACCACTGTGTAACTCCTTCCCTTAAAGTCAAATTACTCAGTTCCAACTGTGTACTAAGGTCCGTGGGGCACCAGATGAGTCATGATCGACTCCGCTTGTTATTTTTTGCCGGTGAGTGAGACAAAGCTCACATGATGCGGTTGTCAGGCTGATATTTTAGTTGTTTCTCGGCCAGTATATTACTTCCCTTGTTCAGCTTTTACACTTGGCTTCTTCCAGGTACCCACGTGTATCTTTTGGAGCATCTGATGGAAGTAGTGAAGAAGGAAAAACAAATTTACTCCCCTTAAACACTATTTATCTTGCTCTTGAGTTCTTTCAACGTTTCAACTGCATTTGTCTCTCTCTGTATTTGTTTTGTTCCTGTTTTGATTTAGCACAACCATCAGTGAGCTGACCCTTTTAAATCACTCATGTATTTTCTTGATGAGCCCCTAGCGGTTCAATGAGCACCATTTCATCTTTTAGTTTGTTCCACAGATTGAATGGGATTTTCCTGCAAGGATGCACAACAGGAGGTATGGGTTCATCCAAAGATATTTTGTGTTCTCCCGGTAGACATCCAAGTCCCTACTTAAAGTCCACAATAGCTCTGCTTGCATTGTAGGTGTACCACCAATCATTATTCAGAGATTTGGTACTTCTGGCACTGTTGTTGATGTCGGAGAAGGCTATGGAGGCATTGCAGAGATAAGGTTGGAACAGAATTTAGAAATATCTTCTGCTTCTCGATAACTTGCTTTTGACGCTTTGTGCCTGTTGGGATCCTCAGGCTTGCCCACCAGAGGGCGCCGAGGATTGTCTTCTGTCTCTTGTTGTTGTCTTTTAGGACTGGAGTTACTGTTGGGATCTGGAAATGACCCCCTGTCTCCAGCAGAGTGCGCCATGGGTCTCCTAGGGCTGGAACCTTCCTGCACACCTGTTATGCATCTTCTCATCAGGAGACTTCCCCTTTATAAACACCTGCCAGACCTTGCTTCCACGCCGCAGTGTTGATCTTAGTTTGGTTAGCTACCTGAACCTCTGTTACTGATTGAATCTTAGTTGTCTCTAGTGTGAGATCAGATTCTAATCTCTCCTTTGTCTGTGCCTCACAGGAAACCTGTCGCTAGTCTGAAGCTCTGGAAGAGCTGCCTCACTGGAAACCTGTCTCTGGCCTGAAGCTCTAGGTGAGCCTACCTGCTAATCTACCCTGGTGAGCCAACCTGAAGATTCCTATGTGGATTTAACCTGAAGACTTCTGTGTGGAGTTTACCTGAAGATTCCTATGTGGAATCAGCCTGAAGAATCCTATGTGGATATTCCCTGTTGTTCCCTGCAATGAGCTGGAAGCTCAGCCTGAAGAATCCTATGTGGATATTCCCTGTTGTTCCCTGCAATGAGCTGGAAGCTCAGCCTGAAGAATCCTATGTGGATATTCCCTGTTGTTCTCTACAGTGAGCTGGAAGCTCAGATCGAGGTCTGCCATGCTAAGCCTGAAGCTAGACGCTTAGCTTCTCATGAACTCTGCTAACCAACAGTCTCCGGTCCCAGTCAAGACTTCAGTGAACCAAGTCTCAGAACTTGTTTACGATCTCATGTTCAGAACTTTTAATAAACATTTGAACTTTTTCCCTGCCTCCTCCATGTGTGTTCTGCATAAGGGCTTGCTCCTTTGATCCATCATGACAGTGCCAATTTTCATTGAATTTAAACTTCCCGAAGTGTTCCAGATAAAACACTAAGGCCAGGATCTGCAAATCATCACAAATTTGAAAAATAGAAGTATTTTGGATGCCCTGGTTAAAATGTAAAACAAAATATAGATTGATTTTTGTTCCATATTTTGTGTGTCTTTTAAGAACATGGCACTATCTTGCTTCATTTTTTCTGTAAATGCGACTGGATTTTTGTTGCATTTGCAACTGAATAAAACCACAAACAAATATATGACTGAGAGAAGGTGAAAAATATGTGTTTCACCTTACATGTGTAAGGGATTGTATTAACACCCTAATATATTTCTTAAATGTGTATCAATGGTAAACCTAATTTAAACAATTCAGAATTGCAATCAAGAGCTACAGAAAAGTCCCAGAGGGCAAAAATGGCCTTTAGACCCCACTTTTTACTAAAAAGTTCTCACGGAGTTGTTGCAACTTTCATAGCCATGACAGGCATAAATGGTAATGTGGGGGGTTGGTGTTTGGTAATTTTGGCACAGGTTACAAACCAGATCTGATCAGGGAATTTTATTCTGTGGAATTAGTTTCTGTATCATTTCCCCATTTTGTGGATGATGGGAAGGTTAGTAGCTCTATAAGAAGCTTGGGATGGCACATTGAGCCCTAGGTGGTCCTGGCAGACGAAGAAAACAAACCATTCTGAATCAGGTTTGCTGATCGACTCTCTGCTCTTCTATTTCACTCACTGGTGAGTTTAAATGTTCATAACATGTCTAACTTATTTTTCATTGATTTCAGCTTGTATATCTCCATCATCTCATCACTTCCATCATGAAGTTGCTGGTTTTGTGTGTCCTGGTTTTCTCTGAGATGGCATGGGCCGGAGCTGATCGTAAGCATTTCTCAAGTATACAGAGTTTGTAAAGTTACTAAGACTCAAACAAACTCACTAATTTGTCTTGTTTAAAATGTCCACAGCTGTTCCAGATGATGGCTCTGCTGATGAAGGTCAGTCACTGTTGTTTTGTAATAGGATCATGAAGAATAAAGTTTATTCTAATGCTGACATACATTGCTTTTAACTAAGGCTCTCCATTTGCTTGTCTTTAGATCCAATGGACTTGGTCCAGAGATCTGCTTCTTGTCATTCTGGCTGGTCTGAGTACAACGGTAACTGCTACCACTATGTTTCCAAGCCCTTGGATTGGGCTTCAGCTGAGGTGATTTTCAATAACATTGTGCTCTTATGCTATCTTACTCTCTTATCTTATGGTTGTTAATTAACAAAACACAGCAACTACTTCTGTACATCATTCTGTTTTTTGTCTGCAGAGGCACTGCATGTCCATGGGGGGACATCTGGCATCAGTTCATAACCCAAGTGAGTACCATCATATTCAGCATGTGATAAGGAAGGCAACTTATGGGTTCAACCGAGCATGGATTGGAGGCAGTAATGCACACAAGGTATTTTTTTTACTAGTTAGTTTATTTGTTAAGTATTTTGATAAATGAATGAAAGAAGTTTATAATGTGCTGGGGCCTTTCTTTTAGACAAGCATTTGGCTTTGGAGCGATGGAAGCTATTTCCACTACACAAACTGGTGTCCAGGAGAGCCTAACAATTGCAGAGGCAACCAGCACTGTTTGCAGATTAACCATTCAGGTAAAAGAAAATATCACACATAAGTGTATGTTTTTCAAGCAGTAATGGGTAATTAGCAGGTTAACTATGTTAGTAAAACTTTAGCTACAACACTATTACATTTACTGGATTAAATACAGGGGCATGTATTGTTGTTTGCTTTGTTTTTTTGTTTTGGAAATCGGTTGTAGAATATCAAGCTTCCCTGCAATCATAGTTCTTTGTAAACAGTATTTGGTTTCTGTGATATTTACAGATTTATTTTTTTCTTGTGCTTAGCTGCAAAGTGCTGGGATGACTTCGAATGTTGGTATCGTCTCCCATCTGTCTGTGCCAAGAAAGGCTGAGCAGTCCGAGAGGAAGCCTTTTTCTGGTCTTTCAGTTATTCTGCCACATAGAAATCATATTTTCTAAAAGCTATTTCTTCCTTTACTTCATATAATTTCTCCTTTTTGTAACACATTTGAATAACCCACACATAAACAGCAGGTAGATTAGAGCAGAGTCAATGTTTTATAAGTGGTGATTTAAGTAAAACCTTCTTTTCTTTAGCCTTGCATTAAATAAACTTTTGAAGCATGAAAACAATATAATGTATTAAGTGAATTTGTAAATTTTGTTATTATTTAGTTTTTTTCACCTTTACCTAGTAATCCAAACTTTAGTCTGACCAGTCTTCTTTTATTTTACTTCCACAAGACTCAATTCTTGGGAATATGTTATTATTACTTTTTTGCAACACCTAAAGTAATATTTTTCACACATATTGGTGCCGGTATATCACAGATGATGTTGTGGTATAGAATCTTAGTAAGAGCTACTCCTTACAGTACAAGTAGAAATGGGCTGCTGCTAATGGTTATTTTTAAAGTAGATTATTGTACTAAGTATTATGTCAGCTTTTCATGATCATGTATGATCTTTATCCTTGACTGAGATGGAGGTCTAGAGGCCGCTCTTTGTCCAGAGACCAGTTCTGGTTTCTAGAACAGTTCCGACCTGTTATTTTCCCAGTCTTGGGATTGATCTCAGGTGGTGATGGTCTGGTTTTGTCAGGCCTTGACCAATTGTATGGAGACAAGTTTGAGATTTGGTAGTTTTCTGTAGTCAAAATATATACTAATAGTTGCTCCTTATTATCATAACATGCTCAGACATCACAATGCATGTGAATTTAAGGAACATGAGTGATCAGAGCACTGCTAGATCCCGCCATCTTACATCAAATACAATGTTTTCATTGCTCATAATGACTGTGAAATCTAAGCTACATATGATATTTAAGAAATTGGCATGTATTCTTGGTCTGACTTTAGAATCTCTCCTTAATATTTTATTTACTTTCTAAATTTATTCACTCAGGACTCACAGCTGCAAGGCTAATTTGTGTCTGAGTGAAAGGAGATAGTTTTATCCTATTTGGGATTGTTTGCTGTAAAAAATAATCATTGTCATAACAAGCCAGACTCTTCCTCAGGCCTTACTCATAACAGTCAGTCCCGTTGCAACAAGGCAAGCAAAGCAAGCAACTGCCTAGGGCCCGAGCTCACTCGGGGCCCCCAGACAATAGCTGACCTGGTCATAATGCCCATCTATTGACTAACAGTGTGAGCGCAAATGTTCCCTCAAAGCTGCGGGCTTGCCCAACTGCGCCCTGCTTGCACGTTTTCGGCGCACAATTAAATCTCTGCAGTGAATAAAATAAAATCCAACATAAACTTTAAATCAAAATAGACAAAGATTTTTTTCTTTATCATTTTGAATTTGCGAATTATTTATTTTGCAACCTAAAAAAACAACAATGAAAATACAAATGATTTCCGTTATATAAAATGGAGAAACTGAGCACAGTTTTTGCTTGCCTTGTTAAATATAACCTAGTAATAATTAAAACGGAAAGGGAATAGATTAATCATTAGCATATTTCGTTTTGGCACTTATAGCATCTCAGCCTGCTGGAGTATGGTAGCTACTTTTGAAAGCAACTTTTATATGTTCCTATAATATCAGTTTTATATTAAAGATTAATACATTTAAGAGTTGGATTTGGATGAATATATTCAATAGAACTTCAATGGGCCTTCAAAAAGTTCAACAATGTTCTTATTCAGCACATCAAAGAGCTACAGATGCATAAATAAATAATCCCACTGGAAGGAGACCATGTGGCGGCCCATATTATTCAGCAGTCTAGGCCTACAGAACAATGAAACTCAAAGATTTGTATCAGCCCTGCTATCAAACAAGCACCTTAAGATGTACCTGTTCACCGTGCAGCTAGATTCTTCATGGGACTTTTTTTTCTGCTAAATTCAAGTAAACGGAGCAAAACAATGATCAGAAGTCAATAAGCACATCCTCAGATAAGGTGGCAGCAGATATGAGAAGCCAAAGCAGATCTCACAGTTCTTAGATATTAGTCCTAATGTACATTTGAATTATTTACTGCTTATTGGGAAAGAAGATGTAGCTTAATGAAGCATATTGAAACACCATTGAGAAAGTTTCATATTTGGACAGCCATTGGTGTGAGAAAGATGTGAAAAATAGATCAAATTAAAGAAAAAAATTCTAGTTACATTTCATAAGATTAACTATGATATTAATCATGAAATTATTATACTATTATAGTATATATGTTAGTAAAAATGTTAAAAGAAGCTTTGTTAAAGAGGTACATAAATCAATACTGTATTGGAAGCTTCAGCACACATTTCAATGTGAAAAATGTGAATCCCATAAGGTGTACAAAAAATTATGTCTGGAAGGTGTAACTTCTAATGTACTTAAGAGCATGACCCTTGCTCTGGGTCTTACATACTACGCATCCCATGAGCAAGTCTTTTCATTTATTTAATTTACGTGGGCAACATCACTTAAATTTAAAATTAACTGGTGGACATTGCTGCTGTAATCTCTTAACAAACCATGTAACTTGGTAATGATCCCAGGCACTCTGGGCAGTGGCACACTGCGCAGTGACCCACAGGATGTTATATTTGTCTGATCTATTTCCTTCCTGAAAATACATCAGACATCTGGATGCAAAAACACTAACTACACTACTAACACTATTTATGGTGGGGGTGGTGTGCTGCTGACCTTGACTCGGGGCGTTGTATGTCAGTGGGCCGAGTACCTTGTAGACCTCCTTAATCCCACCAACACTTCTTCATTGAGGAAGCAGAGCCTGGTGGCTCAGGCTTGGTTCCTCCCATCTCTGTTGCTGAAGTCACCGCGGTGGTTAAAAAACTCCTCGGTGGCAAGGCTCCAGGGGTGGATGGGATTCGCCCTGAGTACCTTAGGGCTCTGCATGTTGTGGGGCTGTTCTGGTTAGCGCGGCTCTGCAACATTGCAAGGACATAGGGGGCAGTTCTCCTGGATTGGCAGACCGGGGTGGTATTTAAAAATGGGGACTGGCTGTTTTCATAAATAGGGCACACCGGGTTATAAGGCCCATACAATAGAAGCTGCAGTCAAGCCTGACTGGGGTTGTGTTATGCATCCACTAGATGGAGCTGTACTAAAGGGAATGTCAACAAAACAGTCAGATAAATCATTCAATCAAGCTTTTGAGGATGCAATGCAAAAACAAAAGCGTTCTAACAGCTCTGTTCACTCCCATGATGCCCTCTATGTAGACTTCAACTTACATATAACACATAGTTAGTGCAATCACAATAACTTCTTCAGTTTTAAACCCATAAAAGAAACACAATCTGATACTGCTAAAGTTAGTTTATAACTCAACATTTTTCAGTTACGGTACATACATAACACATAAAGCTAAATCTTTCAATTCATTCCCCATCAACAAATCTCTCGAATCCATCTTCTTCAGTGGCAAATTGAACAGTTTGGCGAGTACAGCATCCAACAGGCCTGGCTACCTCTTGTCATTATCCGAGTCAGTTCAATTTAATTCAGTTTATTTCTATAGCGCCAAATTAAAACATGTCACCTCAAGGCACTTTACAGTTCATCAGGTCATACAGTTAAATTGATTCAAAGTTTTCCATCTAAGGAAAACCAGTTAATTGCATTGACTCATTGACTCAAATGCAATCCCTCACACTAAGCATGCTTGTAGTGACAGTGGAGAGGAAAAACTTCCTTTTAACAGGAAGAAACCTCCAGCAGAACCAGGCTCAGTGTGAGCGGCCATCTGCTGAGGGTTCAAGGAGACAGAAGCAGAGATACAAAAGGCAAGTGTAAAAGGTGGCCCTGTGCAGAAAACACACAGCCAGGCAGATGATCTCTGAGCCAATTCCCATGTCAGAGGACTAAGAGAGCACATCCAGCCAGTCACAGTCAGAGCAATAGGACTACACTGAAAAAAGGGCCAATCTCGAACATCTATAAA